GTGTGTGTGTGTGTGTGTGTGTGTGTGTGTGTTTATGTTTAAACAATTAAGACACTCACCGTAAGTAATTAAGATCACAATTTAGATCAGTTACATGTTAGTAATTATCACAGTGAACCATGGTTTATAAATATTAATGTCTCCAACTGAAGTTAAAGAGGCCCATCGTTAACTATTTTTTTTCTTTATTTTTATCTCTGTGTAATTGTAGTGGAGGCATAATTTGTCAGTGTCTTTTTTTATTTATTAGCAAGTGCTTTTTCAACTTCTAAGTAAATAATGCTTAATTAAATGTGCCAATTTTATTCATTCACTTTCATTTTTTTCCACTTCTGAATACCAGATTGGAATGTGAAATTCTTGTGTGTTGTAATGGTGGACCAGAATCCATTGATTAACTTGTTAGTATATTCAGGACCTGAAGGGCTCATTCCTATAACCTCAACAGGTCTTTCTCATTTCTTTAGAAAGAAGCTGAAACAATAACTACGTTGAACAGGTGGAAAAAACAATTGGCTTAGCCATAAACATAGAGGCTTTATTCAGCTATGTACAAATGTATTACTTTCATAAGGATGATAATTTTGAGAAACATTTGAACAGCATAATTACTTGGAGAAATGTTACTATAACAAATGTCTTTGGAGGGGTAGTGTGTTCAGGGATAGTATGAGAAAGCCTAAAACTATATAAAACATGGTATTATAAATGAGGCAAAAATTATATAAGAATATGGTCATTGTATCAAATTAATCATAGTCAATCAAAAAATAGGTTGCCATTTCCTGAACTGAAATACAAACTCTTTTAGATATCTTCCAGGTAGTTTATCATAGACATTATTCCATGCTATTTGTTGATTGATGAAATGTTCTAATTCCATAATTCCTGTGATTTTTCCAATAAATAGGACTAAAGGTGACTCAGAATCACACCTATTTTTGACCTTAGCATGCCCAAATCATATCCTGTTGACAGGAATCTGATGAAAATGTCATCATTGTTATCACCAAACTTCTGTTCTGGGGGAGAGTTTTAGCTGCAAGTTTTCCTGAGTTTGTCCCATGATGCAGAGCAATGTTGAAATTTATTGTATGCTCTCTCTGGCTGTTGTAAAGTCTAGGTCCAATCCATGGCCCATTATGCTCTCCAGCCTGGAGTGATAGATCTCCCTATTATGGCTCTTTATGCTTATAACTTTACGGAGAGATTAAAGTGTGTGTGTGTGTGTGTGTGTGTAGCATATGAAATAATTGCAGACTACTCCATGTTTAATCTGTGGATTGCAAATAGGAAACATTGTTTTTCCTAGTTGTTTGTATCCATTTGTTGATCAATTAAACTCTTGTCTTAAACAGGGCTTTGTTTTTCCAAAGAGAGACATTAAGGTGTGAATGTGCAGTTGAAAATTGCTGCCGCAGGTATTGGGAACTACTATTCTCGTAAGAAAAAGATTAGTTCATAACATGAAAAATCTCCCTTAGACCATGATGTGATAGATGCGTCCTAGTGCGTGTATTCCAAAAAGTCTTTGGAGATGGAGTAGCCTCTGTTTCCTCTGCCACTGTCTGTGAAAGGACCAGCCGGTGCCACTTTCATTAGCTATCTTGGTGGTGCTGAGCTTTCTCCAGCAGGCAGAGGAGAGCTCCTCATAAAAAGAGGCTGGCTCAGCTTCTTCCAGATGGTTTCAAATGAACCACACATCAAGGCCACCGGGAAAAGGGTCTAACCAATTACGCTATTGGGCTTTTCTCACTGACACTTTTCTACCACTGTGAAAAATTTATAAAATGTCTCTGTCTCTTTTTTTTTTTTTTGGTACTTAGATGAGTATAGGATCAAACCGGTGGAAGAGGTCAAATACATGAAAAACGGGGCAGAAGAGGAGCAGAAAATAGCAGCCAGGAACCAAGAAAACCTGGTAAGAACGAAATGTCTCATATAACAATGCGTTTTGGTGACACCATTGTCATAAAATCTGCACTGCGCGTTGAAAGGGCAACTGCCACACCAGCGCAAGATTTCTTGAAAACGCCGTTACTATTTATAGCTTGCCTGGAAGCTGCCCCATTGCTCCTGTATCCTGTTTGTTTCTGAATAAGCCCTGCTTTAATCTTGATAGAGAATGCTCCAGGGGGAAACAATAGCAAAATTATTAGCGTGTTAAAATGGTTAAAGTTAAAGGAAAAAGCAGGAAGTAGGACTGAGATTTATGGGGGGAGGACCATTCTTTTCTTTTTTCTTCATCTCCTTGAACTCTTATCAAGGTCAGGGAGAATGGCTAAGTTTCATTATTCTGGACATGCAGTGTGTTGGGGAAGTTGCCTTTCAAAGGAAAATAATGTTTTTGAGTTTTTCTTGAAGATTTTATTGGGGATTTGGGGGAGGGAACAGCATTGGGGAATTGGGGAAGCGGAGCAGACAAGTTGCTGTCCTTTTGTTCTTCAGTCTAGTTGTGGCAGACGCCACTTCACTGGCCCATGTTGGTATTATGATCAGTGTGCTCTTCCCAGGTGAAGCAGATGGGTCATTGGCTGTCGAATGGCCACTCACAGCAGTTCAGGGCAGCTCAGGCCGGCTGCCGGCTGCTCACGGCAGCCCTGCTCCAGGTNTGATTAGGAATGTGTTACTTGCTTGAATCACTTTATAACATCCTTGGGAAATGCAGAAAATAATACAGATAAATAAAACCAGTCATCAGTCCCATAACAATTGTTTATGTTTTTATTCCTCCTATGCATAGAAATATAACCTTTTTTTGAACAAAAATGGATCTGAATTGCTTACAAAGCTACACATAGTCTTACCTTACGTCCAGTAATCCTGCTCCTAGGATATTTTCCCAAGTGATTTGAAAAACGAAGACCCCACAAAAACCTTCACGTGATTTTTGATAGTAGCTTTATTCATCATCACCAAAAAACTGGAGGGAACCAAGATGTCCTTCAGTTGGGTGAGTGAAAAAACTGTGGTCCATCCACACAATGGGATATTATTCAGTGATGAAAAGAATGAGCTACCAAACTGTGAAAAAAACAAAACATGGATAAATCTTGATGTATATTGTTAAGTGAAAGAATCCAGTCTGAAAGGAGGTAATATGTTACAGTCCTACTGATATGAATTCTGAAAAAAGCAGAAACCATAGAGATATAAACAGATTGATGAGTTCGGGGGTAAAAGGAGATGAAACACAGTTGATTTTTTTGGGTGGTGAAACTATGCGGTATGACACTGTCATGGTAAATGCATGACACTGTGCATTTGTCAAAACTCATAGAGCTTTCCAGCAAAGAGAGTGAACTTTTAACGTTGGCACATTTAAAATAAATTTAGGAGGTCAGGGGATGCCAGGATAGGATGTAGACTGACAAAAGAATCTGACAGTATTACAAATATATGAAATAATCTCACTGAAGTGTGGGGAGGGGAATGTGCTGACCTAAGTAACTCTGGAAATGACACTGTAAGACTNCCCTACTGCTCAGAGCTTGCGCTCCCAAGCCAGCTCTTAACAAACGAGCCACTCGGCAGGCCCAAAATAATGTACTTTTAAGATAGGTTTCTATCAAAGTAGTATTTCATATTCACAGTGTTACAGGTATTGTGAGGATTGCATTAATGTGAGAATTGTAACAACCTGAAGCAGGAAGTTAGGATCCTCTTTCTTGAATATGGATACACATGCCCCACCTTATTATTCCATCTCTATAAAAACAGTTAATTGCCATATTAGCTCATTTCTTAAAAGATTACAAATTGTTAGGAACACGCATTTCTTTATTGGTGTTTTCTTTAGCTGGAGCAAAATTGTTTCTCTATTTTATTTTGGGGTTAATTATTTGCTTTCTTTTCATGGATGAGTGAATGTATTTTTAAGAAGCTTGCAATGTCATAAAATATTTTCACTTGACTCAAACTACTTTTTGTGTTATGTGCTTTGTTTTTGTTTTTATGATTTCTGCTACAGCAGAGGGAGTTGGCAGAATATTAACCGGTGCTCATGAGTATTTAAGGCTATTTTCCATGAAACACTAATGAACATAATGGGCTAATTCTTTTTCCTCTATTCTTTTCTGAGCATACGATCGACAACTCAAAATACTGAAGTATCAACAACTGAATATTTCAGATAATTTTAAAGGAGTGAAAATACTTCATTATAAAATTTTTTGCTTCAAAAAAGGGATTTGGTTTTAAGGTACACTTAAGTCACAGAGATTCATCATGCCTATGGTATATTTTAACATTAATACCTAAATGCAGAAAGTGGAATCTAAATAGTGGAAGTTAAATCAGACTTTTTACATGATTTTTTTTTTTTTACTTTCAATAGATAAATAGAACACTTGAGTAGTTAAAGCATCAGTAGTCATTTTCCTACTTTATTTTACTGAAAATCAGAGATTTTCAGCTTGAGTTATGAATCTCATCTTTAATAATAATATTTCCATTTGGTGCTAAAGACACTGGTGACCAGTCTGGCAGTGGCCATTTCTTGGATCTAACTGCTGGTGTCCATCTCTGCTTTGCATGTTTGTATTTCTGAAACCTAAGGGAAGAAATTACTTTACAGCTTATGAGTTTTTCCTCAATGTGCTCTCATCACATTTAGGGCCAATTCAATGTTTTTCCTTCTCTCTTAGTTTTGTAATCCATCACCTCCTTGGTGCTAGTATGTGCTTTTTCAACATAGTGGCCACAATCGGTGCTAGTGCTTTCCTCTGCACACTGAATGGAGATTCAAAAAGAGAGCAATTGCGGGTCTTATTTACTTGCCGATTATCCATGGCAACCCCATGCCCCTTTACTCTTCCAGCCAATCAGAGTCCAGGCCTCCTAAACAGGAGTTTTCTGTGTAAAGACTTGCATGGAGAATGGAGAGTAAATAGTTATCTTTGCTTCTGAGATTTCTAGACTGCTTTCCAAAATGCAATGATTTTCAGTTATTTGGGAGTATGATGTCCTTGTCATCTGTTCCGTCCTTTGGGATGCACCATCCGGTAGGAACCACTGATGTTGCTTGAGAAAACTAGTGGTCTCCGAAATCTGAAGCTTCCTTTGGAAGGTAGATGAAATAGATTTAACAAGTCTTGATTTTTACGTCCATTAATCTAAGAATCAAAAAGTTCTTTTATGTTTCAAAGAACAGTTTCATTTAAGATGTAAGTTAAAGTATTATTAAAAGTTTTTGTTTGTTTGTTTTTTGACTGAAACTGTTGCAGTTAAGGGGCTCAGCAAACGTCACCAAAGTAGGAGGACATGATGGTGACAATGGTGGGCTCTGGAGGCAGAAGCTGCCTGCGTTCGAATCTCAGCTCTGCCACTTGATCACTGTGGGATCAAGTTACTCCTGTAAACCTCCTATCCATCAGTTGCAGGAAAAGACAGTGTCTCTTGCTGGCGAGGTTGTGAGGGTTAAATGACAGGATGGTTGTTAAGACTTTGAGTGCAGTGCCTGGTACTGATAAGCACCTAGTAAGAGTTAGCCATTATCATATAAAACAAAAGGAGAGAATGAAGGATGTTGGAGTCAGTGTTTCTTTCTTTGTTCCTTTATGTTGGTTGATGGCAGATTTCTAAATGAATACTTTAGGTTAATGCCAGTGTTATACGCAGTTTGGAAAATCTGGCTCTCAGACTATTAAATTATTTAATCAAGTATGTTTGGAGCACTTGTTATGTCCAAGGCCCTTCCTTGTACCAAGAGTCACAGGATACTTAGGGTCACTGTCCTCAAGGAGCTTACAATAAAGTTGAGAGGACAGCTCAACAAATATTTTATTGATTGCCCCTGCAGAAGAATATAAAAATAAGGAAACCACTGACCTTTACCTCTAGGCACTTGAATTGCAGTGGATAAGGTAAGCACCAAATGACTATAAATAAAATAGGGTCAGATTGATTCCAGCAAAGAAGGCAATACCAAGTGCTGCTGATATCAGAGGAGGCAGAGATCTTAACTCTTGGGGTATAGGACTCACTTCACGAAAGGGCTTATATTTACTATGGGCCTTGAAGAAAAGTGCCCCAGGCAGAAGTAACAGATGAAAAATGCCAGACAGATTTAATAAAAAAGCATATAGCCCGATTTGATTGGGGAGTCAGAAGGAAGAGGAGAAGCTGTCAGTAGGACAGCAGTGGGAAATTAGACTCAAAACATAGATGGGGTAATATAGAGAGTCTCAGAGTCCCGCTGAGAGCTCTGAAATTAATTCAGTGGATGAAAGGGAGCCTTTGGAGGTTTTCAGTGAGAGCTTAGCAGGATGAAATTATGATTCGGGAAAGTTTATGTGGCTGCTGCAGGTGTCATGTGGATTGGTGTGGGGAACCCATATTTTTTGCAAGAGACAGTGAGCCTGAACCAAGGTGGTGGCAGGGAAACTAGAAAATATTCGGGCTGGGGTGCAATAGAAGCAACAAGATTTGACAGCTCATTATGGATATTAACGGAAGACAGAGGATCAGGAGATAATGGCAATACTAAGATTGTGACTCCCTGGTAGTGAGATAAATAGTAACCTCAATGAAATGGTAAAATCACTAGGAAGATAGTGTTTAATGAAAATACCAGGTGTTCCTTCCTTTATTTCTTCAGTATTCATTCTTGCCCACCCTTAAAAATCTAACAGTAGAGTCCACAGGAGAGAAAGTTAAGCCATTGACCACCTGACAATGTAATAGGTGCAGTAGCAGAGCACCTGTACTGCCAGAGTCTTGGACTCTGTGCTCTGGAGGACAGAGAGGCTCATCAGACAGAAACCTCACCCTAGGGCCTAAAGAGCTCACTGTCTGATAGCAGATAAAAAGACCTAAGTGACCACAATTCAAGGCACATTGTGAAGGGAGAGGTTGGTTTTGAGAAAGCAAACCTTTAGCAACTTGCAGAACACCTATGCGAAGAAGTCTAGCAAAGGGCAC